CCGAACGCAGATCGAGCTTCGAGAAGTACCGTGCCTCACCAACTTGCTCGAACAGCTCATCAATCCGTGGCAATGGATACCGGTTCTTCACTGTTATCTTGTTCAGCCCGCGGTAATCTACACACATCCGCAGAGAACCGTCCTTCTTCCGGACGAACAGCACCGGAGAAGCGTATGGAGAGGAACTAGGCTGAATGAACTCCTTAACTAACAGGTCCTCTAACTGCTTCTTCAGCTCCTTCAGCTCCACTGCACTCATCTTGTAGGTCGGTCTAACAGGCGGGGTAGATCCAGGAACCAGCTCTATCGTGTGATCTGCAGCTCGCTTAGGAGGAAGTCCAGCCGGTAAATCTTCAGGAAACATGTCAGCAGGCACGCCGATATCCTCGTACAGCTCTTGAACCTTGCGCCTCAGCTTTGCCTGGGTGGGGTAAAAGGTCTGCTTACTCGCTGGAGCACCCGCAATAAAGTAGTTCACTGCCTCGTTGCACTTTTGCTGCACAAACGACGACCGTGAAAAATACAATCAGTTTTTACGATTGAACACCTCCTGTCAATCTGGGACGAAACAAGTGCCTACGAAACATAGATACGGTACCAAAGAAATCAGCAACAATAAATCTGGAATCAGGCTTACCTTGAAAAACGACAGATCCAGAAGCACAGGCGGGATGGGGGCACCATCGCGAACCACCGGTGCCATTGTGAGCCCATGGGCGTTGCTGGCCGCCAACGGGCTGCTGCGCTGTGCTGATGCGTGAAGCACACCAACACGAGGTGCGCTATTCTGGCTGTTGGATGATGAAGGGCCGGGACTACCGGTTGTTGCTTGGGCAGGCGGCTGGTGAGCAGCAACGACTGCTCGCATCCGTGAAGCCTCCTGTGTCTGCTCTTCCAGCTGCCGACAGAGGGCCGCGAGTGTGTCGGCCTGATGCGCGATCGTACGCTCCATGTCGCGGTTCTATGCCACCTGCTCATCAACCGGAATCGATCGAGCTGCATCGAAAAATAGTAGAATACAGTAGGTTAGTAGGATGCGTGGAAGAAAAGTTTTAGCACAAATGTTTATTTGCACTATTACAAAAACATGGCAGAGCTCGCTAACCTGGTTGCTTAGCTTTTTTCCCACGCGCTGACGCGTGAGCTCCTGCGTCGCCGCCCATAAGGTCCGCGACATTGGCGGTGCGCCTTCAACTCTCAGTACGGCCATCCTCGGCCGGATCGTCCTGAGGCAGCGCAATGGGAGTTTCCGCTAACTCGCATTCGTCAGGATGTCCCTCACCCTCGTCCTGCTCCTCATCCCCGCAAGGCTTGTCGCCCTCGTCGACTAAAGCGTTGAGGGTGTTATCGTCCTCATCAGTTGCGGGCAGAGAAGTACCAGCAGCAACATCTGCAGTGGCGGGAGTTCCGTTCAACTGCTCCTCTACGGCTGTTTCTGCAGTGGGTGTTTGCGAAAGTGGCTGGTGTTCAGTGCTGGAGTCATGTCGCTGCAACTCCGCGTTCATTCTGTCCCTCAGTGCAGCAAGGTCTTCACGTGACATTTCCTGCAACCTAGGGTCGCGAGGAACATCTTTGTTACCAGCACCTGGGCGAGCGCTGGACCCCCCAGCTTCTTCGCCGGTGGCTTGTAACCAGTGGTGTCGTGACCTTGCAGGCGAACTGAAGTCGTGAGTTGGCGTTGAGGGCAACTGGTACCTTGAGCCAGGTTGGCGCGTGCCTGGGATGATAGGGCACCACTGGCAGCGAGCTGGTTGGCCATGCTGAGTGTGCGAGGAGGGAGGTGGATTGGTTGGGAAATTCTGTGCGACGAGAAGAAGCTTCGCATAAGCTGTAATTTATGACGATTCAAACCTGCTGAGGAAACGATTTCATTGGCTGTTGAGACAAACATGCGGTTACGCGTCGCTTTGCAGATTCGTGCGAGTCGCAAACATACCGCGAATCACACGACTGGAATCTCCGTGCAGGTGACTCGATCGTTGGGCGCCGCGTATCTCAGAACGTTCTACAGCGGCAGTTCCAGATCGACGTGCAATCAGTTTGTGGTTAAAAATCAACACTGTGGTTCACATCCCGCCACGTGGCACCTTCTTTTGATACACCCCATAGATGCCTTCCATACTGTCATGTCAAGGGAGAGCCGATGCGTGCGATGCGATGCGTACGCACGTCAATGTGCTGAGATGAATGTTGATAAAGTGATGTTCGTAGTGTTTTATGTTCTTGTTTCTCATAATTCAGTTACGCACAGAATAGGCAGAGGCAATGATTTACACAACAACATGGAACTTAAAGTAATGAGAACTGGCTTACACACTCTGTAACTTCCTCATGGATTGTCAGGTTGCGTAATACAAACTCTCTGGACATGTCTATCATGTGATCAATGGAGCAATGATGTATATCCACAATATGGGTTTGCAAATATGTACATAACAAAGCATAGGTTTCAAAAAATGAAATGATTTAACAACCACCTAGCTTCACCAACCTCTGGCTGAACCAGATGCACTGCACGAAGAATGCTGCTGGTATCTACCACTCGATACCTTTATGACATTGCAGCCCACTTTAGTTGCTTGCAATGCGTCTTCTCGTCGCTGTCAGGGAGTTCATCGTCGTACTTGATGAACGCGTACTCGCTCCGATCCCTCCTGTGCCCAATGTGAAACAGAAGTAAAACTTTTGCGTACCACTCTCCGGATCCATGAATGGCGACGTCGGAAAACCAGCCACGTCCATGAAACACCGGCACGGCACGTATGCGATGAGGCACGGCTCGAAATGAAGGGTCGGTAGCAGGAGGCATGGCCAATTCATGATGCACATATATGGTAGTTGCATTCTTTGTGGCCTCTGAAAAACGGTTTAGGGCTGATCGTAGGTGTGGTAGGTCTTCACTCAAGGCGGCGACGTATCTCTCGTCACGCACCTTGGAGGGAATGGGGAAACTTACAAATGGTCCCTCGCGACGCCTTTCAAATACAGTCAAAGGCCATGCCGATCGCGACATGATGCGTTTGCCTGTACGCATTGCCTGCACGTTGAAGGGGGATATGCTACTTAGTATTGAGAGCGCAATCGATTGGGGAGTTTTGGGTCAAGTTGCATACAAATGACTCACCTCGCGCATAACCGTGTTGTATTGTGCCTCTGTCACTGCAGAGATGCCAAGAGAATCCACAGCAATTCTTATCTCCTCTGCACGGACAAGTTGCCCTGAAACGTCCCGTTTGCACGATAAGGCCGTTTTATGTGGTCCTTGTGGAAGAACTCGGAAATGTTGGCATCGTAATGTATGGGTGGGCCTGCACGACGGATGGCATCGACGTAATGACTTATCAGGTGCATCTTGATGAATCTCTAGTGGGAAGTTTGTTTGAACGCGGTTGTTAGTTGATCAATCATTCTGCGAAGGGGGAACGCAAAGACGTTCGTAAAGGATCCGGGAATGACAACATTTCAGTAAAACGAAGAAGTGTTCGTACCTCTCCGCTACTTCCTTCAACGTTCGGAGTGTGTTGTCGTCGTATGTTGTTGCCTTTGCGCACTCCGAATACCAACGAAGGTATGAGATGATAGCATCCAGCTGCGGCTGCTCGATGTGTGATGATACGAGAAATGGCAGCAGTTGCATCACCGAGCAATGCTCATACGCCTGGTAGGAAGCTCCTATACGGATTTGTTGCCTAGATGGCAGGCGCAATGAATCCCACCTACACGTTCCTTTGAGGTATTTGAGTTGACTGAGAACATGGGAAGGGTAAGAAGGAATGGGGAAATGATCAGTGTGTGTATCGATCCTCATGGTTAATAAGAGGTGTAAAACAAATAATTTTCATTCATACCTATCGATCTCTTCACGGACTGTGTCGGGGATGATGTCGCGCAAGGCTGTGAGGATATGATCGAGAATCCCCAAGTCCGCTTGGTGCATGAGGTCCGGCATGACCGCTAGGTGTGGGTTTCCCCATTGTTCCGACCCCCAAAGTGCGCCTTGCATATACAAGCGAACACAAGTACACGAACAGTGAGAGCTGGAAAAAGTAACACGTAATAAAGCAACCTCGGGCATCAAGAACTACTGACCTCGACTGGATGGGTAGACAGGTCTTCCACTGCTGCCTCCCCGCGTCGTCTCGGTGCCTTTAGGGCTGCGCAAATGTCTTGTTGCTGCTGGACGGTGCGCCATTTTAGGTGTGTCTGGTATTCGGCCAGATCATTCTTGTGGACGGTGCAGAGTGAGCAGGGGTAAGTTGTACCCAGAGATTTGGTACAAGTCAACTTACATGTCTCTGGGTAGTCTGCGATGTAAGCATACAGCGCCGGGTATGCGGTGAATGAATGGCCCGATGCGTCTTCCACCCGAGCGCCCCTGTATGGGGCACGTGCGCAGGAAAGGGAAAAGGTTAATCAATACGCTTAAGAAATGCATGTACACACAAATCCGGTTCAGATATGAAAACCAGTCAACATGAACCAATGAGAGCTAAGTGACTTACACATGACTTGCGGCTTTGAGGGGTTCTAACGCCTTGCCAAGAACCTTATGGAAAACTTGCAGCCGGTCAAGCGAGGTGTACTCCGGAGGAAATTCCGGCAGCAATGCAATCATCGCATGACCGTGGGGTTTCCATCGGTCCTCGCGTGCGATGTTGGCCAACGACATGTATATGGGATGCCCCTTGGACTTCCCTCTCGAATCCATCATCGTTTCATCAGAGGCGAGTATGATGGTCGCAACAACATCTTCCGGTCCGAGCTTGTCCTGGGTGGGAAGATGGTGAGTTGTAGAATGGAAGGAGCGGTACAAACGAATTCTCAGGCAAGCGATTGTATTACAGATGGCCATGCCCCAACCAACAACATGCAACGTACCTGGACGTTGTTCCAGAAATCTGCCGTCTCGGGTGCATCGTACACACGAACGCCATTCACAAGCTTCCGATGGGATCTTGTCACGAGTCCTCGAGCATTGCGGGAATCTTTTAAGAGGGGCGTCATGGCCTGGGTGTGAGGGCCAGAGTAGGGCGGATGGGGTACAGGGAGGGAGAATATGGGGTGGGGAAGAGAGAGTGAGGTACAGAGAGGGATGATGAGGCGCAAACACCGAGAATGCAAGGCAAGAAGGGGGAATATGGGGTGGGGGAGAGAGAATGAGGTGCAGAGAGGGATGATGAGGCGAAAACACCGAGAATGCAAGGCAGGAAGGGGGAATATGGGGTGGGGGAGGGAGAGTGAGGTGCAGGGAGGGATGATGAGGGGCAAACACCGAAAATGCAAGGCAGGGAGAGAGAATGAGGGGTGGGGGAGAGAGAATGAGGTGCAGGGAGGGAGGATGAGGGGCAAACACCGAAAATGCAAGGCAGGGAGAGAGAATGAGGGGTGGGGGAATGAGAATGAGGTGCAGGGAGGGATGATGAGGGGCAAACACCGAAAATGCAAGGCAGGGAGAGAGAATCAGGGGTGGGGGAATGAGAATGATGTGCAGGGAGGGATGATGAGGGGCAAACACCGAAAATGCAAGGCAGGGAGAGAGAATGAGGGGTGGGGGAGAGAGAATGAGGCGCAGGGAGGGAGGATGAGGGGCAAACACCGAAAATGCAAGGCAGGGAGAGAGAATGAGGGGTGCGGGAAAGCGAATGAGGTGCAGGGAGGGAGGATGAGGGGCAAACACCGAAAATGCAAGGCAGGGAGAGAGAATGAGGGGTGCGGGAAAGAGAATGAGGTGCAGGGAGGGAGGATGAGGCGCAAACACCGAAAATGCAAGGCAGGAAGGGAGAATATGGGGTGGGGGAGGGAGAATGAGGTGCAGGGAGGGAGGATGAGGGGAAAACACCGAAAATGCAAGGCAGGGAGAGAGAATGAAGGGTGGGGGAGAGAGAATGATGTGCAGGGAGGGATGATGAGGGGCAAACACCGAAAATGCAAGGCAGGGAGAGAGAATGAGGGGTGGGGGAGAGAGAATGAGGCGCAGGGAGGGAGGATGAGGGGCAAACACCGAAAATGCAAGGCAGGGAGAGAGAATGAGGGGTGCGGGAAAGAGAATGAGGTGCAGGGAGGGAGGATGAGGGGCAAACACCGAAAATGCAAGGCAGGAAGGGAGAATATGGGGTGGGGGAGGGAGAATGATGTGCAGGGAGGGAGGATGAGGGGCAAACACCGAAAATGCAAGGCAGGGAGAGAGAATGAGGGGTGGGGGAGAGAGAATGAGGTGCAGGGAGGGAGGATGAGGGGCAAACACCGAAAATGCAAGGCAGGGAGAGAGAATGAGGGGTGCTGGAAAGAGAATGAGGTGCAGGGAGGGAGGATGAGGGGCAAACACCGAAAATGCAAGGCAGGGAGAGAGAATGAGGGGTGCGGGAAAGAGAATGAGGTGCAGGGAGGGAGGATGAGGGGCAAACACCGAAAATGCAAGGCAGGAAGGGAGAATATGGGGTGGGGGAGGGAGAATGATGTGCAGGGAGGGAGGATGAGGGGCAAACACCGAGAATGCAAGGCAGGGAGAGAGAATGAGGGGTGGGGGAGGGAGAATGAGGTGCAGGGAGGGAGGATGAGGGGCAAATACCGAAAATGCAAGGCAGTGAGAGAGAATGAGGGGTGGGGGAAAGAGAATGAGGTGCAGGGAGGGAGGATGAGGGGCAAACACCGAAAATGCAAGGCAGGGAGAGAGAATGAGGGGTGGGGAAAAGAGAATGAGGTGTTTGCCATGGGAATCTGAGTAGCTTTCAGTCCCATGAATCTGAGGGACAGGGAAGAGGCAATGGGATTGACCTACGACTAATCTTGAGGCTGTCGCAGAAGTGATATTTCAGAAGCGTCTTCCCCGCGATTCGGCACTCGCCACTTTGCCATGACCGGTTAGTGTTGACAGCTTTGGCCGCCACATATTTGTATAAGTCTCGAAGGCTTTTCCAGCCGCAAACCTCGCCAAATTGACTGCCGCTTTTGTTGAGAATTCGCAGCAACGCCGCTACAGCCCGTTGAGACAACTTCTCGTTTAAAACCCATCGACATAGCTCATCTTCAAAGGAGAACGGCGTAGCAGGACTAGGCTCCGCATCCTGTGCCTCAGGGATGGTGGCTCCTCTGAGTCTGAGCTATCCTCGCACACGGGCCTAACATCGTCGATTGGAGCTCGAGGACTCATAGTTTCATCGAACGTTTGAGGCAAGAAAGGGTCCTCACGGGCCATTGGGCGAAAAGTGCTCGGAAGACGTGTGCCATTCGCATTGTTCCCTGCACCATCGCTGGCGGGTCTGCACGCCGCATTGCTGGCTGCTCCAGTCTGCATTGGTTGCTTCCAACGTGTCTTTGAAGGCCTCCTCTACCTCCAAATGGGCCTGAACGGCATGTTCTGCAATAATCTGGGGGTAAGTCGCCCATGAATACGTTGCGACGTTCCTACAACTACGACTGGAAAATTGATCTGTAATGAAATTGGCTGAGTTGTTGGGATGTCTTGGGATGTTGAAGCTGAATGATGTCGCTGCTCTGGCGTTTTTGATTGCATTACTTGCAAGGAATTGACATGCAGCAGCACTCACCCCAACGAATTCTCATTTCTCAAATTTGTGGAAAAATGTGCGCCTCGATTTCAAATGTGTTGAAATTGTGAGTTGAAATTAGACGCGACCCGATGAAGTGTGGTTCAATTTTCGCCCTTTTCTCCGATTGGCTGGCGTTACTTCGCGACCAACGGGAAGACGTCGCTGGTGGGCAGCCTCGTTGTCACACATCAGTGTGCCAAATTGAGTCGCGACGAAATTCCAGCAAGCGACTACACCATCAGGAGTACCGCAATAGGCGCGTCGCAAGTCACATTTGGAACGGTCAGAAATGCCAATTCACCTGCCCGCACTTAAAACGTCGTTAAGAACCAAGTCGCGAGCGCAAGCTTGCCATGAAAAATATCAAAACCAGTACCTTAAAAACTTACTGTAGCTCCTCAGTGTGAACCCTAAACGGCCATAATCGAAAACGAACCGCGTGGCTATTGGTCAAATTCCCAACGTCTAAAATATGTAACGTTATTCATAATTTTCATACCGCACGACACACTACAAGGAGAACATCAAACACAACAAAAACAACCTGTAATATCATAACGGTGCATCTCATAAGAAGCTGATCAGTCAAGATCGCAACCGTCGGATCAAAGCAACCAGAAACCGAGATACATCCGAAAGGCGTTTACGTGCTCCCTTCGGATTGAGCTGCAGAGTTCTCGCATTTCAAAGTGGGCCGTTGATTCGAGAAGATCTAACGACCGACAATAAAATTGAACTCACACCCCCCAGGTCGTTTACGTGCTCCTCGCAACAATGCCCCAACCAGTGCGCCGCAAACCATTTCACGAATCCCAAACGCGATCTTGACCGTTGCTCAAATCGCTTGGAATTTCATCCGTCGATCAAACACCTGCACATTCCACGAAGCAGCCAAATATATTTTCTCGAGCTCGGAATTGGCATAACAGGGTTGAACGGCGTCGCAAAATTGCCGAAGTGTCCCCGCAAACTGGCACAGCATGTATACAACTATTTATGACGCTCCGAAACCTTCGGGAAAAGAGCGTCAGTAGACTAGAACATTTACAAGGGGCTCAGGATTTTTGCGATGGCCGCACTTCACCCAAGTCAACCAAGGCACGAAACCAATGTTTCGCCCTTCTCACGTGGGTCCCCCACGTCCTGCCCACGTTCTCCCCTGCGCTGCCCACGTTCACCCTTGCACACAGCTGCTACATGTTGCTGCCTCCCGTGCGCTTCACGCTGGCTCCCGCGCAGGTGCCCCTTGTTACATTACCTCCCCTCCCTGAAGGCACCGTCCTCGGTGCCAATGAGGCAAGATAGACCCCAATGGCACGAGGAGCATGGCTGAGGTTGGAGAACGGCTCCCATGAGTCTTCAGATGCTGAGGTGTTGCGCCAGTGAATGAGATATTCACGGCCAACTGGAGTGTCACGGTGTGAGAGGATGGTGTCGACCTCATGCAGGTCCGGATGGGCAGAGAACATGGGTGGGTGGGGCTGGAATGGGTGAGAGGGAGTACGGTAAGAACGAAGAAGGTGAACATGGAAAACAGGGTGTATGGTCATGTGAGGAGGGAGTTGAAGGCGGTAGCTGACCGGTGAGAGAACTTTGGTGATGGGGAATGGTCCAACGAATCTGGGAGCGAGCTTGCGAGAAGTTCCAGCATTCAGCAGAGGCAGGTTAGCAGTTAAAAGCATCACCAAATCACAAGCAGTGGTGCTGGGCTAGACGTGTGCCAAAGATTCTCCCTCGATGAGGTGACTCGAGCAACGGCGGAGTGGGCAGAGAGCAACCGCATAGGCAGCGGCAGTTTTGGCGACGTGTACCGGGGCTTGAATCCGCGGAATTCCAAGGAGGTGTGGGCTGTGAAGCGAGCCCGCGTGCTCACCAACGACTTCCGGCGCGAGGTGAGTCACCCTGCGGTGTGCTGTATTCGCTTGGTAATCTTAAAAGTATCCACTTCCTACTTCCTCCCAACCTACTTCCTCCCGACCACTCGGTCCTACTGGGTATGAGTGCGGTGACGTTGTCTGTAGGGTGTCTTCCTTTGCCCCAACCAGTTTCGCCCCAATTTGAATCATCCCAACCTCCTTTTTTCCCAGCCCGCTTCTTCCCAACATGCTTCTCCCCAGCCTGATTCCCCCCAACGTGCCTACCCCCCAACCTACTTCCTCCAAACCTACTTCCTCCCAACCTACTTCCCCCCAAACTACTTCCCTCCAACCTACTTCCCCCCAACCTACTTTCCCCCAACCTACTTCCCCCCAACTTATTTGCTCCCAACCTACTTCCTCCAAGCCCACTTCCCCCCAACCTACTTCCTCCCAACCTACTTCCTCCCAACCTACTTTCCCCCAACCTACTTCCCCCCAACCTATTTCCTCCCAACCTACTTCCACCCAACCTACTTCCTCCCAACCTACTTTCCCCCAACCTACTTTTTCCAAGCCTACTTCCTCCCAACCTACTTCCACCCAACCTACTTCCCTCCAACCTACTTCCCCCCAACCTTCTTTCCACCAAACTATTTCCCCCCCAGCCTATTTCCTCCCAACCTACTTCCCCCCAACCTACTTCCTCCAAAACTACTTCCCCCCAACCTACTTCCCCCAACCTATTTCCTCCCAACCTACTTCCACCCAACCTACTTCCTCCCAACCTATTTCCTCCCAACCTACTTCCCCCCAACCTACTTTCTCCAAACCTACTTTCTCCCAACCTATTTCCGCCAATCTATTTCCTCCCAACTTGCTTCCTCCCAAACTCCTTCCTCCCAACATGCTTCCCCCCAATCTGTTTCCTCCCAACCTGCTTTCCCACACTGCTTCCGCCCAACCTGCTTCCCCCGAACCTGCTTCCCCCCAACCTTCTTTCCCCCAATCTGCTTCCTCCCAACCTGCTTCCTCCCACCCTGCTTTCCCCAAATCTGCTTACTCCCAACCTGCTTCCTCTCAACCTGCTTCCTCCCAACCTGCTTCCTCCCAACCTGCTTCCTCCCAACCTGCTTCCTCCCACCCTGCTTTCTCTCGCCCTGCTTCCTCCCACCCTGCTTTCCCTCGCCCTGCTTCCTCCCACCGCGCTTTCCCTCGCCCTGCTTCCTCCCGCCCTGCTTTCCCTCGCCCTGCTTCCTCCCACCCTGCTTTCCCTCACCCTGCTTCCTCCCACCCTGCTTTTCCTCGCCCTGTTTCCTCCCACCCTGCTTTCCCTCACCCTGCTTCCTCCCACCCTGCTTTCCCTCACCCTGCTTCCTCCCACCCTGCTTTCCCTCACCCTGCTTCCTCCCACCCTCCTTTCCCTCACCCTGCTTCCTCCCACCATGCTTTCCCTCACCCTGCTTCCTCCCACCCTGATTTCCCTCACCCTGCTTCCTCCCACACTTCTTTTCCTCACCCTGCTTCCTCCCACCCTGCTTTCCCTCACACTGCTTCCTCCCACCCTGCTTTCCCTCACCCTGCTTCCTCCCACCCCACCGCTCTGCAGATCAGCGGCACCCTGGTGCGGCTTCTCCCGAATTTTCTGGGGTAGTTGGTTTTGTGAAATCTCAGAAATCGACCCTGGTATGGCTGCTGGGGTGCAAGCGATGATTCGTTGTCCAACCTCCTCCCTGGTTTCCTGAAGTCAGTAGGTTGTCTTCCTTCCCCCCGCCCTACCTCCCCCCACCCCCACAACTGGCTTACTCCGAACCTCCTTCCTCCCACCCCACCACCCTGCAGATCAACGAGATGGCGACCAAGAGCCATCCGAACCTGGTGAGGCTGCTGGGGTACTTCTTTGACATGAGCTACGAGGCGGAGCGCATGGAGCAGATCGTGGTCTATGAGTTCATGGCCAATGGTGACCTCGACTGCTGGATCGGACCCGGTGAGCCAAGGCGGTTTGTTGTTCTGCACACGATAGGCAAATTGGACAGTGCAGGTTTTCACAGGCAGGGTGGTTCATTGTTTCACACATAGTAGGCGCAGATTGGAACACGTGAGTGGAAACGGTGTCATGTGTTGCACGGCAGGTGGATGGGAGAGAGAGGGAATCGACAGAGTAAAATAGGTAGATTGGCACATTGACGTGTATGATGCGTCGATGGGTGGTTTGGACCAGGTGAATCGCTTCTTTGGCTGTTGAAATTTCCCCAGTGTTCTTTATTTGTCAACCCTTTGGGGAATCCTGAGCGCGGACCCTTTGTAAATGTCAATTTTACGTTCAACACCTGTCCTGTTTTAAATCTAGAAAGAAGCCCCAGGTCAACCGTCGTAAACCTTGAAACACCAATAATCTTCACTCTTTCACTCTTGCAAAAACCTCCCGAGACTTTCTAGCTACCCATTACCCAGCTCCTCGATTTCTGTTTCTTCTCCTCCCAGATGCACCCCACCCGCTCACTATGCAGCAGCGGCTGGGCATCCTGACAGGCATGGCACGAGGGCTGGAGTACCTGCACAGCTTCAGCATCGTGCATCGCGACATCAAGCCCGCCAACGTGCTGCTGGACGCGCGCGTGCTCGCTGATTTTGGGACGGTGCGACTTGGGGAAGGTACATCTGTGGCGGCTACCCGAGTTATGAGCATGCCGGGCTATGAGGACCCTGCTTACTACCGCTCCCACAAGGCCACTCCCAAGGCGGACGTGCACAAGTGCGGATGATATGGTACTCACGTGTTTTTA